GAGAGAAAAAAAAATCTTTATTTTCTTGAGAAGTCCTTATAACCTGTGTTTATCATTTAGTGCAAAGTGGGGTGAAGGCTCGAGCCTTACCTCCATAGTGGATATAAATGTACTGGAAAACGTACAAAGGAGGATGACAAAGTTGATTCCATGTATCAGAAATCTTCCCTATGAGGATAGACTGAGGTCCCTGAATCTGCACTCTCTAAAAAGGCGTAGAATTAAGGGGGGATATGATTGAGGTGTACAAATGGAAAATAGGAATAAGTAAAGGGAATGTAAATAGCGTGCTAAAAATATCTAGCCTAGACAGGACTCGCAGCAATGGTTTTAAGTTGGAAAAATTCGTATTCAGGAAGGATATAGGAAAACACTGGTTTGGTAATTGAGTTGTGGATGAGTGGAACAAACTCCCGAGTACCGTCATAGAAGCTAAAACGTTGTCTAGTTTTAAAAATAGGTCTACCTGGAGATCATTCCGGGAATCAACGCCCCCGCGGCCCGGTCCACGACCAGGCCTCCCGGTGGATCAGAGCCTGATCAACGAGACTGTTACTGCTGGCCGCATGCAATCCAACGTACGAACCACAGCCCGGCTGATCCGGCACCGTCTTTAGATATCTGTCCAGCTCCCTCTTGAAGACAACCAGGGGTCTTCTCGTAATGCCCCTTATTGCTGGTGGGAGGCTGTTGAACAGTCTTGGGCCCCGGATACTTACTGCGTTTTCTCTTAGTGTACCAGTGACGCCCCTACTTTTCACTGGGGATATGTTGCATCGCCTGCCAAGTCTTTTGCTTTCGTATGGAGTGATTGTTGTGTGCATATTAGGGACCAGTCCTTCCAGAATCTTCCAGGTGTAGATTATGATATATCTCTCTCGCCTGCGCTCTAGTGAGTACTAGTCAAGTGCTTCCAGGCGCTCCCAGTAGTTAAGGTGTTTGATGGAACTTATACGTGCAGTAAAGGTTCTCTGTACATTCTCTAGCTCTGCAATTTCACCTGCCTTGGTGGGGATGTTAATGTACATCAGTATTCCAGCCTAGAGAGAATAAGTGATTTAAAAAGGATCATCATTGGCTTAGCATCTCTTGTCTTGAATGTTCTCATTATCTATCCTATCAGTTTCCTAGCAGATGTGATAGTGGCATTGATGTGGTCCTTGAAGGTGAGGTCTTCGGACATTACCACAGGTCCTTCACATTATTTTTCCGCTCTATTGTGTGATTGGAGTTTGTAGTATACTCAGTTCTAGTTATTATTTCCTCCAGTTTTCCATAACGGAGTAGTTGGAATTTGTCTTCACTGAACATCATATTGTTCTCTGTTGCCCATTGGAAAACTTTGCTTTTATCTTCTTGGAGCTTTGCCGTGTCCTCAATGGATGACACTCTCATGCAGATCTTAGTATCGTCTGCAAAAGATGATACAGTGCTGTGGTTTACATCTCTGTCTATGTCTGATATGAGAATAAGGAACAGGATAAGTGTGAGTACTGTGCCTTGTAACACAGAGCTCTTCACTATGGCAGCATCTGATTTAACTCCGTTTACCACTACTCTTTGTGTGCGATTGGTTAGAAAGTTGAAGATCCATCTGCCTACTTTGCCGGTTATCCCTTTAGCACGCATTTTGTGTGCTATTACACCATGGTCGCACTTGTCAAAGGCTTTTGCAAAGTCTGTGTATACTACATCCGCATTCTGTTTGTTTTCCAGTGCATCTAGGACCATATCATAGTGGTCAAACAGTTGCGAAAGGCAGGAGCGACCTGCTCTGAAACCATGTTGCCCTGGGTTGTGCAATTTTTTGGGAGTCCAGGTGGTTTGCTATCCTGCTTCTTAGAACTCTTTCAAAGATTTTTATGATGTGGGACGTTAAAGCTATTGGTCTATAGTTCTTAACTACTGCTTTGCTGCCACCTTTATGGAGCGGGGGTATATCTGTTGTTTTTAGTGACTGTGGAATCTCGCCTGTGTCTAAGCTCCTTCTCCATAGCATACTTAGCGCCCGTGAGAGGGGTTTCTTGCAGTTTTTAATGAACACCGAGTTCCACGAGTCTGGGCCTGGGGCTGAGTGCATGAGCATAACTACATGAATAGGTGTGGGTGGGTGTGAGATGAACCTGACTAGCTTGTGCTAATAGGTCTGATGCCATGCTCCTTCCTTAAGTGAATGTGACCTGACCGGGCTAGGTGGTTCATTGGTCGAAGCCGGGAGGTGACTTGGACCTGCCTCACATGGGCCCGTAGGCCTGCTGCAGTGTTCCTTCTTTCTTATGTTCTTATGTTCTCTGTCCACTAATCGCGAGACAGAAATTCTACTCTCATCGTAGAGTAGAATAAATGGATGACGAGCGGTGGTGGATAGTTAATAGCGATCTACTTGACTGTAGTTAATTCTTTAACCAACATTATGCGTTACTGTAACAAAAAAAAAAAACATAATTATTTGACCCGTACATGCCAATGTCATAAGTTCACGATAATCATCTCGGAATAAGAACTAGATAAATAATGTTAAACTACCGTGGCTCAAACACTTTACAACTTGTACTAACGCTGGAGATTAATTAAGACGATGCATTGGACAAGGACTGACCCGAAGGTTGAACATTAAAATGGTATAAAATACCGACAGGTTGTTAGGTAAGACACATATGCAACAGTTAGGTACAGACCTGCAATCAACTTCGACAACCTCTACTAGTGAGAACGGCTGGATTTGAGAGGGACCTGACCTCCTAACATCTGCGTTCTTACTTCTACTAGTGACCTACGTCTCACCTCCTGGCGCTATATAAGGCTCCTTCCTGTCACTTCAGCTCCATATTGTTTCAGACTATTGAACAATGCTCTTCTCCAGACTGAGGGACTGACCACCTCAAATACTTTAAGGGTGATGGACTCATTACATCGTCTTCAAGTCTCTTCTGCTTCTATCACTTTTCTGTACTCGACTGAAGAAGCCTACTGTGTAGGCGAAACGTTTCGAAATAAAGATACCTAACTGTTGCATATGTGTCTTACCTGACCCGAAGGTCATATATTTTTATGTCTAGTGTGTTAATTAGTTGTTAATAGAATCAAAGGTTATATTCCCAAATATTAGGACATTAGTAACCTTTCTTATGATAAAAAGACACCTATGGAAGAATGGAAACTTTTATTAAGACTTATATACAAGCCTCCTGATGTAACTTCCCAACAATTCCAGGAACAGCTTTTGAAAATTGACCAATGTCTGGAAAATCTCCCAACTCCAGCTATAGTTTTCCTGCTGGGTGATTTCAGCTTAAGGCGCATAAAATGGAGGAATGCAGCAAACAATATTTTAGCAGAGATAACCCCAGGAGGCAACTAAGATGAAAATTCATACACATGAGCTATTAAATCTCTGAAACAAATTCACTTTAAACTAGCAAATAGTGGAGCCAACAAGACTGGAAAATACACTTGATAACTTGCTACAAGATATAACAGTATCAAAGAAAATACACTCAGATCATAACATAAAAGTACAGACATGTATGAGCAGTGTTCCTGACCAGCATAAAGAGACCAGTTATGAGGTGCTTTTACCAAATATAGCTTCAGTAACAAAGACATACTGTGGGATCAAGTCAGCCATGTCCTAAATGAAACAAGCTGAGAAGATATCCTAAACAACACAAAGAATTAACTCTGTGGCACCTAACAAATGCTCAAGACACATTCCTTTAGGAAAAAAGAAGAGAAGATGTAAACCAGAGACGCTCCCTATACAGGCAAAGGCGAAGAATCACAGAGCTACTGAGAGAGGCCAGTATATCTGAAATACGAAAGGAGACACTGGGCAGAGAAATAGCAAATAAGGAACCATACAGGAGACAAGAAACACAAAAAGAACTTAAAGCCATAAATGAAATTAAAATATATATATATATACTTCTTTTCTTATGGCAAATCTAGGGCAAAAACAACATCGAGTATTGAAATTAAGACACATGTGCAACATCTGGGTATCTTTATTGTAGACGTTTCGCCATCCAGTGGCTTTATCAATACAAATTCTAGGACTTAACTTGAAGACAGTAAGACTATGTACAGAAGATGAGGTAATCAGTCCCTCAACCTTGAAGTAGGTGCGAAGAGCACCGTAGTCGTGGAGATTCTGAAGCAGAAGCAAGGAGCCTGGCGCTTATATAGTAACGTCAGGTGTAGCAGACGAAGGCATAGCCACTGATAGGTGGGATTCCCGAGTGGAAGTAGGTACATGTACATAACCTTCACGACTACGACAACTACTACTACAACTAACCTATCTCTTTGGGAAGGACCTACTTCCACTGGGGAATCCCGCCTACCAGTGACTATGCCTTCGTCTGCTACACCTGACGTTACTATATAAGCGCCAGGCTCCTTGCTTCTGCTTCAGAATCTCCACGACTACGGTGCTCTTCGCACCTACTTCAAAGTTGAGGGACTGATTACCTCATCTTCTGTACATAGTCTTACTGTCTTCAAGTTATGTCCTAGAATTTGTATTGATAAAGCCAATGGATGGCGAAACGTCTACAATAAAGATACCCAGATGTTGCACATGTGTCTTAATTTCATCTTGTCGGTATTATATACCATTCTTGCACAACATCGAGTATTGGACCCCTGCTTAAACGAGATGGGACTTACACAGATGACAGCATAGAAATGAGCGAGATATTGAAGTCCCAGTATAACTCAGCGTTTGATGAGCAGTTAATTATTCTAAGGGTTGACAATCTAAATATTATTTTTTTATGACCGAGACTCAAAATTTGATTAATTAAAAAATTTCTGATATTATCCCAACACCACAAGACTTTGAGAAAACAATAAATGACATGCCCATATACTCTGTCCCAGGCACAGACTGGTAGAGCTCCGTGTTCTTCAAGAACTACACGAAATCCCTTTCACGTGCCTTAAGTATTCTATGAAGAGGGAGCATGGACACAGGTGTCATCCCTCAGTCACTA